AAACGCTTTAGTAAAAATCATACTGGCATATTAAAATTGTAACAGCAAAGTAATATCAAATAGCTGGAATGTGAGCCTTAATATACATATTACATTTGAATAGATATTGCTTAAATGTAATTAAGATGTATCAGATCGCATAGCACATTCCTGCCTCACACGATAAATCCTACGCAATACACCGCGCCCACCGCAGCCCTATGTTTAGTGCCCACGAAGAAATTTGGTCGACAACTGCATTGTTAAATTCCTAATGCTAATATCCTGTATTATACATTTAAATTGTCATATTATCTACTATACTATGTAGAGTATATCTGTTGATATTTAGGCTACGAACTGTATATCATATGGTCGTTGTCTGTCTTACGCAAGGATCGTATCGTAATTAACCAATTGATTTTATAAGCAAAATTATAAAAATGTCACAACAAACTTACCGCGAAATATTACAAATAATTTTTAAACCTTTCTCTAAATTCATATTGTTTGAAAATACGTTCGTTGATTATAATTTTAGATAGATAAATACCAGATAGAACTTAAGAATAAAATAATCGATTCGGTATACAAAAATTTCGATACATCGATTTAGTAAATGCTCTACATTGAATCACTTAAGCAAGTGTCATATTACACGATCAAATCAAGTGGTGCATAACCGCCCGAAAATTGCATTGTTAACGGAATTTTTATTTTGGTGCAATAATAGTTTGGTAATCCTATTTGGTATGCCAAGACGCTAATAACCAATTAACACTTTTTTGTTCATTTTATAAGTCTAGTGTGTACATAGACTTTTTATTGTTGGACAATTAACTACCACAAATAATAACAGATTAGAACAAACAAAAGTTAGTATGACTTATATTTTCTAACATTCATACATCTGACTTTTGTCTTTTCTAACGCAATTTTAGTTACCAACATAATGAAATTATATTCGACCTATAAGTCTGTATAATCTACTAGTAAATAAGTTTATTGTAACTCTATTTTATTTTCCAGTTTGTCCTGTGCGTGTTGGCGGGAGTAGCGCTTGCCCGCGAGTACCCCGCTGGACTACACCCCGCGGTCTGCCCCAACTACCCCTACTGCGACACCAACACATTCGCTCGCTTCACCCCTGACGGCATGCCCATCCCCGAGTGGGTCTACAACCCATCCATACTGCCTGTAGCCCCTGCCGAGTAAGTATACATAATATATAATACTATATATCAATTGCCGCACTTTTGATGGTCTTCAAGGCGATTTGATATAAGAACTCTACAGTAAATACTTTTTAAGTGAACATTAAATTGAAATGATTGAAGATAAAAATCATAAGGCAATATTTCACCTATTTTCTTAAGCTAACTTTGTCTGAATCTAAATAAATGTGTAGATGTATAAACATGAAAGAAGCAAGAGTAATGTGTCAGGATATTCTTTATAAGACTAGACCACACGCAGTAATTTTACATCAAAAATATTTTTTCTCATTAGATCCTTACCTACTGTTATCTTCGTATGAATAAATATAATTAACGATCTAATCCATGTTAACGTGTGTGTTTTAAAGTGTTGCCAGTCGAGTGGACACTGAACGTGTTATAAAATAAAAATTAATGTTTGTCATTTTGTTCCAGCCCGAACGCAAATGTCGCAGCTAAATACCCGGCCAACTTCAATGCCGCGGCGTGCCCCAACTACCCCTACTGCTGGTGAACAGATCTCAACACGTCCCCCCACAATAATGCCGGAGTTTCTAAATGCAAGCTAGCTTTGATATTCCTTCCAAATATCTAAGCGACGATCTTTAACAGCCTCATTTTATCTGAAACTCTAAGCCATTATGTCAACCCCACTGCCATAACATTTAATATGTGTAAATATTCGGGTTACATTCTAAAAATGCATTAAGCATTTCATTTTTTTTGTGTAAAGAAATTTTGTAAAAATTGTAAATAAAAAATTTATTTTTAAGCTATTCTTTTCTTTTTAAACCTTAAATCTATTAGTGTTTTCACAAAATAAAACAGAAAATAATTGCTGCAAACATATTAGTGGCCACAATAAATATTGCTTAAAAGTCACTAAAAAACAAAAAAATAGCATAGATCGACTTTTTAAATGTCACTTCGCCTTGTGCAAGTACCAAACAGGGCAATGTATTCAATATTTAAGCGGCGTATTGTATTGTAATCAATGTTTACAAATAGGTAGCACAAGGACTTGATTTCGAACGCAACAGGATTCCCGCGCGGTCAACTTACAACTGTCACATGTCAATGTCATTTTGACATGTCATTATAGAATTCATATCATTCCATACTTACTTTTGGTGGAAAATTTACGTTGATTTTAATAATTTTGTATCATAATAAACGCAAAAGTAAAATTATGTGCAAACTTGAAATTTCACGTTCTTAAAATCAGTACGTTCCTAAAATAAACCATTTCTTACGTTACTCATAACAATTGCAATATCACTCACAAGATTGAATACCTCGATAAAATAAATAATTCATTTTATAATAGAACATTTTAATTCTTTGTCAGACATGTGCAATATTACGTGTCACGAAACAGTTTTGATGTGACGCCGTAACTGCGAAATATACGGTCAGTTGCAATTAGTTACGCACTTGCTGAATTATACGCGCAATGTATTATATACATTGAAAACTTGTGATGTAATAACATAACCTATATGTTTCAAGGAAATTCTCCACTTTCACACACTTGCATTCTGAACTATCTTAAAAACTTATAAAGTTATATCTGACAAAAGTACGCAAAATCATTCTCAACTATAAGAAGAGGCAAACATCACCCTTGTATATTGGCTGGAAAAAATGGTAAAGAAATAATAATAATTAAAAAACAAATTAGGATTAGATTACTAATTAGCGCTGGCTGCGAAGTTAAGCGCATAATCGAACTGGACCGAAATATACACGTCCAGGTTAAATCCCCGGCATGTACCGATAGATTTTTCGAAATTTGTAGTTATCCGACGCCCTTGCGGTGAAGGAAAACATCGTGGTACAACCTTCAAAAAGCTGGGCCAGCGTGGTTGACTATGGTTGTCACCCTAACTTGTAAGTTTGAAGCTTCTCGGTGAATACATACGTATATGTACTGACAACTACTACTAACTGTTGACTGTAAATCTTAATATTGCGCGTGGAAGAATTGCCTTACAAAAGCACATGACTCAGTGGATGTAGTTTAATTATATGTATCCGTTGAACGCACTTTTACATCTTGTTTTGCATAATTAATGAAGACATACGAATGTTTCCGTTCAGATAGTCTACATATTACCTTTTTTGTCAACAAGATGTCAATAAATCTTCATTAAACATATAAGTATCTTAGAATAATGTAAGGTGACAGTTAATTTAAAATCTATGTATACGTTTTAATAAGATTAAATATTTACTTACCGGTATTGCAATTTTTCACACGAATCACAAAAGTTTAAAAAATAATATTTACAATCATCATCAATACATCAAACAAGAGATAAACTGTCAGCACAGATCAGCTGTCGACGACGGCATCGAACGAATATGGAATTTTAAAACTACCCTCTTTTAAAAGTATTATTTGTTGTTTTTATTATTCACTCGAAAGAGCAGGCAAAGGAACTAAGCCATACAGCCTTGTCTTTTTTTAAGGAAATACTTTTAAAAGTATTATTTGATATTGACATTTAATCTATAAGTTACAGATAATAAAAAGTTACAACATTTTTGTATTCCAAAAGGTTTTGCGTGTTGTGATGAAAGTTGGATTTTGCCTTCAACCTTTTATATTGATTTAACTCAAAGTAAATTACACATTTTCCTGTAAAATGTATATTAGACTTATGCATTAAAATCTCCTTATGTTAAACGAAATAAAGAAACATCCAAATACGACCACGGAGACACGAGACTCGGGACTCTAACCATTTTTGAACGTCACGACCTCTATCGTCTAAAGCGGTATTTTACTAAACTTACTTGTATTAATTTCTCGTCCATTCTAGGATTATTATTAAGATATGTTAAGGCGAAATTGCTATCTAGTTGACTATATAAGCTAATAAAGTATTCGGTGGCCGTTGAATTATAATAATGTTAAGGAATCATCAACATTCTGTTCATCAGTTCAATGCTAATTTCTATATTTATAAATAGTACGTGTTCTTAGATCGCAGCAAAGTGTAGCAAATATATATTTTTAAATTGTAGCCAGTACTTAGTTTGGATTTTTTAATACTGTATGTCGTATTCTATGTTCATACGTACGTTCTTGTGTATGGTAAAAGAAAAGAACGAATTAGCTTGACTCATTTATTGTAAACACAAAAATATATTTAAACTGGTAAATTGTACTGTTTTATGAAAAACTTTCTTGTTTTGGAACATAATCGAAAAGAGTATTAAGCATAATATAAAAAATGGCGCGAAAGATACGCTTTTTTCATTAATTTAGATTTTTATTTCTAACGTCCACTGTTTGTGTCTTTTTTTCCATGTATAGGGTACTCCTTATGACACCCCGGGGACTAAGATGTGTCGAATGACACTTCACTCATCAAAATCGGTTCAGTGGTTTAGGCTGTAGGCCGTCACAAAGGAATTTATAAACAAACCCACATACATAATACTTGGCACGTAAACAATTAAACTCTTGTCAATCAAGTAAAAAAAGAGAAAATATGGATGAAGGACTCACTTATTAATCTGTACAAACTAGTTGTACTGCGTAGTTATTTTACGGTGAATTTCCACTGTCGAAACACTTGGAAGAATATGTTGTACCTGTCTTTTTCCCGATGAATGAAAGGGATGTCTATACATGTGTATGTTTGGTTAAGAAATCCACGATTACAAAAACAAAACATTTGACATTATGTCAGGGACACAAATAATTTCCGCATTACTTATAACTTGTAACATCTACCCACGGGCGTATGTAGTCATATTACTGTTTATTTTTTTTTTTATGTTTATTTATTCGTTTAGCATATTTTTGTATGGAATATTCCCACATTACCTCCTTATTGATTCATTTATTGACGATAAAAATATGTTTATAACCTTATATTTTATTTAAGGCTTGAATTCGACAGCTTTACTTATATCGTATTGCTTTTAAATAGAGTTTTATATTTACGTTGTTTTTAGTTTGTTTTCGATTTTTTTAATGCAAGAGGAAAGATCCTTCAAGCAGTAAAAGGTATGCCACAAGAACGCTGCCTCGGTGTTTAGTTGTCAGCACTTAGCATCGGCTATGATGCGTTTCGTAATTATACAATTAACAATGGACGCAACATTTGCTAAAGGGGAATAGTTCATATACATAGAAAATATAAAACATAGTATAGTAGCTTAATTAAATTACGAAATAATAAATAACTTAGAGTCACAGTATAGAATAGAAGGTTGTATTTTAATATTCTTCTTTTGTCTTCTTTTTGCAACTTTAATATTCTGTCCTATCAACTGCAAACTCAACTGTTCTTCAAGAAGTTTCTTCAATATCTCCATAATATCTGCCACTGACGTAGTTTCAGTGACATAATTGTCCATCTTCATGAAGATAAAAGCACAGCTTTCGGGAGTCATCTTTGTAAAAATTTGTTATACTATTGATATTTGATATTTTGTTTATTAAACACGTTAGATTAATTTAATTTTTTAATTTCAAACTTTAATAAAAACAGCAATCTGTTTATTTGTAAGTTTGCTATTTTATTACGACAGGCGTCACTAGAACTATAAAAGCGCAGTTACTACCTGCTTGGTTTTCTTATCACTACGACAGCCATAAACACGAAAAATATACAGCTTATTATTTAAATTAACGCTATTGAATAGTTTGTCAAAAATAAAAAGATAATACTGACGAATACCTTATTTAACATAGGTTGAAGAGGACTTAACGCCGCTTGGATTGACAATGCAGAATACAAAGATGGTTTGCCCGTAAGCCAACCGTAATTTGTAGTCGAAGTATTTGTTCTCTCTTGATGGTATGAATGTTTTATTAAAGATTCAATCTGCGAATAATGTAAATTAAAAATTAGGCTTCATTATGAACTTATAACCATCAAATAACTCAGGGCACGGCATTCAGACGAGAGTATCTTTAAAAATCAAAACTTACATATCGTGTAAGATCCCTTTGCGTAAAACTTTGATCCGAACCAATTTTTTGGGAATCATTTTTTAAGAACATTTTATTTTACTTATCTCCGGTAGACTGAAGGGTAACAGCGGTCTAGAAAAATTAAAAATACATAAATAAAACTTTCATGATAGACATATTGATTCGTGATAACGTCCAGAATTGACATTTATTTAATTTTGTCGCCAATCTCTAACAGCTCAAGTGGTTGCTTTAATCCTTATCATTTCAACAAAGCTTCGATTAAACCAAAATTGAAGTACCAATTAAACACGCTAATAAATTGAATCTACTTATATATTTAATACAAATCATTTAAAAAATTTGAAATCTTACTTTATAAAACATACATATATAACAATATTTTTCCGACTCGTTGTCGATACGCGATATTTTTTTTTAATCAAACAATTTAAATACGTGGATCATTTAACTTAAATCCGTTGCCCGACAAATAAATTAAAACTATTAAAAATGACGTTGCCAAAAAATGATTTCATAAAATGAGTTTTGGCTCTACAAATGATGGAGTTTTAAGGAAAATTATTAAGAATGTTATATACAGAGTGATAATTATATCGAGGGCGTTCTGTTGCGTGCCATTGGAAAATATTACAAGCTTTGTGAAGAAACCAAAGTCAAAATCGAACGTATCCGATCGTATATCTAATGTCATAACTAGATATAAATCAGGCGACGGTAAATTCAAGCCAGCAACAACAACTGCAAATTACCCTAAAGAACAAATAAGTTCCACGCCACAGAAACGTGGATCAACTAGATATCTCATATACTTACCAAAAAGACCGAAGAAAAATCACAAATGTTTCCAAATCGATCCTCTAAGCATAGATAAACACGACAAGAACTTTAAAATGTGGAGCATCAGAGAAGTAAACTCATTGCACAAACAAGGTACAAAAGATTTAACAAATTTGGTTATCGACAAAAGTTATATTACACATGACGGTAAAGTTATTGTTAAATTAAAGAAAAAACCGTTCAGCTTAAAAAGGTTATTTTCAAGTAGACCTAAAGTTGCCATCAATCATTCGATAGCGTAAATACCAAAATACTTTATGCAAAGGTAAAAAAAAATTGTCAAAATGTTTTTACTCACCTTTTAGTTTGTTATTGTAACTTGTGTGTTTATTAAAATTTTGAGGTTATGTTATTACAAGGTGTCAATAAAATACAAATTATTTTCGTGAGCCTTTATTAATCATCGCAGCGTGAATAAATATTTAGTAGAAACTAATAATATACCCTTTCCGGTAACTGGTCGAATGTAATATCACAGAAGAAAATGAGAAATTAAATACCATTGGTATTTTCTCGTCAAAGCGTGTTATTAACTACTAAAAAATAGTGCAATAATGTAAAAATACAAACTTTTATTACCTAGTTGTGCCTTAAAATTGAAAAATAAATAAATATCAATGGAACCCAACTGAAATATTATAACTATAAATTAACTAAATAGTATATTAGTATATTTTTGCTACTGGCAACATTTATTTAGTTTTAAGTTTTGTTTGCGTTGCATATGGCCACATCGCTATGGCGGGCGCCAAGCGCAATAACAAAGCAGGTTTTAAAGCATTTAATAGGAATTGTAAAAGGTAAAAACAGAACGCATTACTCCTATTTATATTATCTTGGGCGTGTTTAAATATGTACAATATAATGGCAGTACTAAATGCTGATAAAATCAATGACCGATTCCTCGTATAATGACGATATCTGAAATAAAGAGTTATTGATAGATTTGAATATCACAAACACAGAATAACTGATTTACACTAGAAATATTAAGTTAAAGTAGATTAAATACAATTAATATCATTTTAAATTATCATTTTAAATTGAAAAACGAACTAAAAGAGGCAGGGCTTGCGGAATTATTTAAGTAAATTAGTCAATAGACCTCTCTTACCGTGAGTTTCTAAGATGATCGTCATCTTTGTCACTATCTTTGATAAAACAGATATAATGTATATTTTTTAAACGGAGATATTTGTCTCAGAAACTCACGATTAGTAATTTAACTATTGTTGAATGCTTACTAATATTATAAATGCGAATGTTTGGATGGATGAATTCATGTTTGTTTGAAGATCGCTCAAATTTGCTATAGATGTAGAACATAGTCTGGAAGAACACACAGGCTACTAAAGATTTTTTTTTAATTTCCGCGCGGACGGAATCGCGGGCGACAGCTAACTATAAAAATTACACATAATTAAAGGTTACGAGTACTTGTATGTGGGGGTGAGTTGGGTGTGGGCATGATTATACTTACTGTGCGACAGCGGGGGTGACGCAGAGCGCCCAGCCGAGCAGACTGGCGGTGGTCTGAACTAGCGCGAACATCGGCGTTGTTGAAACATGGATGTCGTCAGGACTCTCGCACCAACGGAACGCCTAACATACAAACTGTTAATACTGGAAAAGTTGGCACGCCAGGCAGCCTAGGAATCTTGTATTCGACGTGCCAAATTAACTTCTTTTAAATATTGAACATTAAAGGAAATGTCCTCTTTATGAATGTCCCCTAATCAGTCAATTATAAGTAAGCAACGCGTCTGCAATTGCGGATGTCTTTAGCCAGCGATCGCTTCGCTATTAAGGCGAATTCAGGTAGCTGCTTGTTCGTTTGCTTTTTTATGACAAAACTATAAACAGAATTTAATTGTATACTGCTCAAAAAAAAAAAAAATTATTACCACGATTACGCTATTGTACGCAGTTGCGTCATAGTCATGGACTGACTGGTGTTGTGCGTTAGTTTAAAAAAAAAATAACCTTATTGGTCTACCTTTTTTTGATTCGGCGATGGACAACAGCTTAATTGTTGTGAAAATCCCTTTTCATACGACCAGTGTCAGTATTATTAAAAACCATGAAATTTTAAAGTTAAAGAATATAATTAACTTACCATCTGCACGGTCCATTGTGGGTCTATTCCGCATATCTTGAGACTGAAGTATGTAACCACACTAATGGCAATTGTCAGCAATGCGCATATCACGTGCCAGAGTAACGCACGACCCGTGTCAGATGCACCTGTACCGTACTTCCATATGTACGGGTCAGACACATAAATACATAATGCCGGAGCTAGGAACGAACCTGAAAATTATATATTACCAATTTCAATATTAATAAGACCTAAGTGCTTAGTTCTAGCGTAACCTTTTTTTTCTATATATAATAAGATTACAAACGACCGATCGGCCACCAGAAATCGCTGAAATAGCGAAGTGACCGTTGCCCATAGACATACGCAATTGCATATTTGTTGCCTACTTTTAATCGACGGGGGAGAGGATGTACAGAAAGAAAATATTTTCCCTTTCCATGCATCCTCTCATCCGGAAAGTCCACTTTCACTTCCCATCCTATACTTGTAAGAAAAATGTTAGGAAGTAAAAGAGAACTAAATTAGGCCTCCGGGATGTACACTCATCAGACTGTACGCGGAATTGCTTCCACTTGACGCGTGTCTTCTGTATGGTCGTGGTATTTCAACGGGCGAGCCGGGACAATTCGTGCGAAGATGTTAAAGCGGGCTCTATCACTGCAGTGTTATCTTAAGTTTAAAGCCAATTCAAGGTCGATTTAAACATTACTATCTACTAGGGTTTCAAAATCTCCACTGAGGTATGTTAATTTGATGAAACTCTTGAGTACAGCAGTAAGTATAGAATATAGAAGTTACCTATCAAGATGCCGAGGAAGCACTGGTGAGGGAAATGTGTGGCGACGTACATACGCGCCAACACGACAGAGAACAGCGCGAACCCTGATACTGGGTATGCCACCAACTTCCACCACCATATGTAGCATTTTCTAGTAAAAAAAAAAACAAATTAGCTTCAAAAACACATTCTCCATAAAAGGGTCTATTAATAAATAATCTTACTAATATAATCTAAGATGTTTGTTAGAAAGTATCTCCAGAATGCCACAACAGATCATGATGAAATTTGGCATAAATGTAAAACATGGTCTGGAACGACACATAGGCTACTAATTAAGCTTTTTTAATTCCACGCGGAATCGCGGGCGACACCTAGTCATATTAGAACTTCTAACTAAAAAAACAACAAATAAAGTTTAACTGCCATAACAAAAATAAAACTTTGAAAATATATTTTCTATACAATATAGTATTATAATTGGTTACATAGATTCAGAAATCAACTGCAAAAACTTATAAGATACCTATCATTCATAACATGTGATATCCACATAAGCCCCAACAGTAGCACAGAGGCTGCAGTAGCCGAGTGTCCAGACGGGCAGCCAGGCCCTGTCTCACAGGTCTGACTGAACTGGTGCAGATGCGGACGTCGTGTGCCATTGTAAAATGATGTCTCCTGAACCCACCAGTATGGACGGTCTTCTAGTAACCACCTAGAATTACCCAATATCTGCTATTAATTTCATACTCATTTAATGGTATAATTTATCTATTGGTCTTTAGAAGAAAGCTTTTCATTTACTGTATTCCAGTAACAAAAAGATTGTCCTGTTTCTTGCAAAAAACTTAAACTCTCTAATTGCATATAAATAATTATTGGGATATAAATGTTTTTGATAAATCTCCTGAATTAAAAATTTAATATGTGACATTTTCACTATGTAAATAATTTTTTACAAACCATTTCATAATAGCATTGAGCCAACCTCCGAAAGCTAAACAGAGTAATAGTTGAGCAGCAAATACAGAGTCAACAATGGAGACCAGAGGGAACAACACCTCTACCACATTGTGCGGGTTGGATAGATGATTTACAAACTCAAAGAATTCTTCCGATTCTGAAAACCTGTGGAAAATGAATAAAATTGTTAACTTAATGGTGGATCTAGTGTCTCTCTAATCAGCAACCTTACTTAGGTTATAACACAAAAGAATATATTTAAGTAAACTAACTAAAGTCATTTCGTTATCTTATAGTATATAAAATATTGTACACTTAAAATTTAAGTTTTATTGTCCAGATAAATGTAAGATTTTAATTTCCTCCTACAAAAAATAATTAACGTACATATGATGTCATACTTCATAGAGTTTAAATTGCAGTTCAATTAAATAAGACAGCAAAAAAACCTTTATACTGTAAGGATTCTATATTACATATT